TAGTAATAAGGGTAAAAGTGGTGTTAGTCTCCTACTTTTTCCGTTAAATATTGATAAGGGTTTGGTTGGGTTCTAAGCAATATTGTTTAAGGGGGAAAAGCCAACCATGTTATCTGTACATACAGTTGGTTTGATTGTTCCTTCCTTTTGAGGGCATTTATGGAGGAAAGAAAAGGCCCAGGGTTTTATCCTACTTAATGGAAATTGAAGTACTTTCTTATAATTTCCTCATTTATGTTAATTCTAATCTATCAAGGTGGTTTCTTTAATGAGTGTTTTTTTTCCCCCCTTTCAGGTATCCACCATGATTATTTTTGTAATCTGGTCAGTTAATAAACGACTGCTTTCAAATTAAAATGTGTCGTGACTTTTTGCTAGACTCTGCTGTCCTTTAACTATTGGGACAAATCTTGATGTGTGATAAGAGTAAGCCGTCTTTTTCTTAAACTTTTAAAATTTTTATTTATTTTGAGAGAGAATCCCAAGCAGGCTCCAGGGATCGAATGAACTGTGCCAAGTTTTGCCTTTGTGTACGAAACTGGGGTCTGGTTTGTATTTTGGTGGAAAACATTCCTTGGGTTTATTAAAAACTCTCTTGTGAAAAGAAAAAATCTTTTCACTTTTTTTTTTTTTTTAATTTTTCACTTTTCAATTGTGCCACTGAGTTAGCCAAGATGGGTTTGTTCTAAGAAAGCCTGTTTCATAGACTTATGTGCGTGATTTATAGGTAAGGTAATAAAAATTGAATTATACTGTTGATGAAATTCCATCTGCTGAGGCTTGGTTTTTCTATAAAGTACTGTGTGAACATGTTTTCCTTTTGCATTCCTTTTTTGTTTTTTGCTGTGTATCTTCACCTATCCAGGTGAGTTTCTAATAATACCATTATATATGTTAGAAAAGGAAAAATGAAATTGCTGCCCATGGATGCCACTTATTTTGGAGCACCCTCAGAACTCCTAATGAAACTAGTGAGCAAAAGCTTGAAATAGAAAAGATTAGTTATTTTATAAGTAACATTTTTATATATCGTATATATCTCAGATTAGTGAGCTGCAGGTTTTCGGTATAGAACATGTGAAGTAAGTACATCTAATAAAAGAAGTTTTTGCAGTCTTCATTGTGCCAGTGGACACTTTGCACTAGGATCATTACTTCTTAGTATTTATATTTAATAATTCAAATTCTCTAGACTTGGAAGCAATCTCTGGATTAGTGAGTTTATGGTCAGTGAATTCAGAAAAATTGAGAAGATTCTTTATAAAATCAGTGTTACATGTTTGAGTGTGGCAGGGTTTTGCAAGAAATAGGGTATCTTGGTAAACACTATGAATAGTCTGGTACATTTGTTAATAGCCCACGAATGGTGGACACATCACGCAAAGTAGCGAAGCTTTTGAAGCTGGTAAGGAATAGGAACGTGTAGGATAAACTGACAAAGTATATTGGCTGTATGTGTATTCTCTGCAGGCACTTTTCTGTTTTCCGTCTGGGAAATCCAGTTCTCCATATAAATTACTTTCAAAGTGGGGCCAGAGGCTGAGTAGGGAGGAGTTGGCAGATGTCTAATACCACTATAGAAAACTCTCAAACACTTGCTTCAGAAAAGGGGTATGAAAATATTTTGTGAACTGTTAAAACTTCTTGAAATGCAGCTGGAAAAGCTAACTTAGAAAAGCTACCTCCTAAAATGTCACCTAAAAGGGACTGTCCACTAGAAGGCTAACCAAACTTTGAAAGTCTGGGTCCTGCCCAGCAGGTTGTCCTACAAAAATTCACCCCACAAATGTAAATTTGCATTTCTACCCTTTAACATTCCAGCTTCATAAAAATCTTCTGCTAATTACCCCAGTCTCTTCAAGTCACAAAGTTTAGTTGTGCTCACTGGTTTTTTAGCAGGTGTTCCCTCAAATTACTTACCTTTGAAAGTTCCTTCATGGTTGGCTGGATTGAGTGCTGGCTCTGAAGCCAAACTGGTTCATACCCAGCCTTCACTTAATCATTTGGGCCAATAAATCTGTTTCTTAGCAAAATAGGGGAAATTGTGCATAATACCATAGGATTTTAATGATGTCAGTTCATGTAAAATGCTTACAGCAGTTCCTGGCTAAAAGTACTAAGTAAATACTATGCAACGTGAGCACCTCGCAGGGGCATACAAATGGAGATGGCCTCTACTTTCTCGTATGTCAGTCTAACGGGCAAGGTAGACAACGCAAGTAATGTGAGATAAGTGCTACAGGGATGTCTAGATGTATCTGCCTTTTGGGGTGTTGGGACAACCTGTGGGGGAAATTGACAACATTCTACCCCCACTGTTTGCATTACAGATTTGGTATCAAACCAGCCAAAACATTGTTTTCATACAGGTGCCTCCCTTCTCTAGGGTAATAAAACATGTAAGGCCAGCCTTTTTGTCCCTCCTAACCAGTACCTGACAGAGTAGGTGCTAAGTTTTTGTTTACTGTTGGTGCTGTAACAAATTACAAACTTTGACTTAAAACTCAGATTTATTGTCTTTAACAATTTCGGGGGTAAGAAATCTAGATTTGGTTTCACTGGGCTAAATCGGTGTCAGTAGGCCTGCCTACCGTAGCTCTGAAGGCTAGGAGAGAATCCTTTTCTTCCATTTTCTAGCAACCACTTGGCATTTCTTGGCTTATAGGCAGGCCATGCTTCAGTCTTCAAAGTGTAATCAATCTCTCCTTCCATTCTTCCATCATCACTGGCTCTGATCCTCTGCCTCCTCCCTCTTATAAGAACCCTTGTGATCAAATTGTGCCACCCAGATAATCCAGGATAATCTCTCCATCTCAAATTCCTAAATTTAAGTACAACAGCAAAGTCTCTACATTAAGCAGCGTGTTCGCAGGTTCCAGAAATCATGTCAGGGAAGTGTTTTGGGAGGGCTATGTGATCTTTATAGCAGGTAGCTATATTTTTTCTTGTTCCTCAAAAATGACAAGCTTCTAATGTAGGGTCTTGGCTCTTGTAATCTTCTGTCTGGAACACTCAGCCCTCAGGTCTTTGTACATTGCTGCTTTTTCGTTCTGGAAAAGGGTTTTTTCTCTGACACATCTCCATATAACCCTGTATTTTTCATAGTACTTTTTATTACCTGCAATACTTTTTCCATTTATTCTTGTTGCTTTTCACAGCCTCTCAAAGTTTTGAGAATATGTACCGAAACCACTGTAAGGTTTGAGCGTTTGCCGTCTGTTCTAGCACTTAGAATAGACCTGTTGCATTGCAGGCCTTTTGCTTTTTTGATTGACTCGAGCCTCTTAAGAGTAATAGCAATTTTGGGGCGCTTGGGTGGCTCAGTCCATTAAGTGTCAGACTTCAGCTTAGGTCATGATCTCGCGGTTCGTGAGTTCAAGCCCTGCATCAGCTCTGCTGACAGAGCCTGGAGCCTGCTTTCCATTCTGTTTCTCTCTCTCTCTCTCTCTCTCTCTCTCTCTCTCTGCCCTTCCCCAGCTTGCACTCTCTCTCAAAAATAAGTAAACACTAAAAGTAAATGAATAAACCAAAAAGTAATAGCAATTTAAAATTTGGATTTTCCAGTTGCTGGCATGTTATTCTTGATGAATGCTGAGAGGAGTGGCGCCTGCATTGTGGGTTCATGGGTATATGTATTACTGTAAAGGACTCAAAAAGTGAGTTATTGTGTAGGGATAATAGTTTGTGAAAATAGAACAGCATGTTAGGGGAATATAGGAGATGGTTCATGCTGTGCAGATTGGGAAATTTCACAAAGGAGGTAGAATTTGGACACCTGGTGATAGAAGAGCAGGCAGGAGCCAACAGTTGGGAGACAATGCAGTGGCAGATGTGATAGCAAAACTCAAGAGCAGACCATTTAATAACAGTTGATCACGTATTGACTGCTAGTGTACACTTAATCCACATAATCCTCCCTCAATTGTCTCCATTTTGCAATCACAAAACCGATTAATTGGGGGATGGGTCCCAGGCCTTGCCCTTTAAATTCTCCACGTGAGTTTTAATGTGCAGCCTATTCCATTAGGTAAGTATACCACTGTCCCCATTTTTAAGATGAGGGGTTAACTTTCCCTCCCCCAGGATCACCCAAATAAGTGGTGTGGCTAGTATTAGGTTCCAGGCCTAATTTGAGTTTTCTTAACCAGAGGAGCTAAGGAAGGTGAGTAGGGAGCTTGATGAAAACAGAAAAGTGTGTTTGGGAGCACCTTCAGTTTTGTCGAACCTGAAACCGTGTATTTTACTAGGGCTAAACTTGCAGCCCTATTTGGGGTCAAGAAATGGAGGCAGAGGGTTTAGAATATAATTTGGCAAAAGTATTGATGCTAAGATCCTACCGCGCAAGTCAAGGTGCTAGGCTTAATTGGGGAGAGGACACCTAACCTTTCACCAAAGAACTTAGACAAAGGACGTATAGAACATGGAATGCGGGTTGCCATGGTGAGGGGACTGGGGGTGGGGGGTGGGGCGGGGATGACTGTCACTTAACCTAAGATGGGCTGGGCAAGTATTGCTGGGCTGTTTGAAAGTTCCAGACTCATCAATACACCGGAGAGCCTGATTAGTTTGAATCTTAAAAATGCAACCCAGGGAACTGCATATCACCAACCTGGTCCAGCCGCCCACTACCCACCCTGTCGATGCATGACACAACTTTTCGTGCCCCACTGACCTTGTGCCACCACTGACTCCTATACACCCGGCCTTGTTTCAGCACCCTCCCTCCCACCCCTGCAGCTGTGACTGCAAAGGCCGTGGCACCGATAGTAGTTGTCGAGTGAGTCCTAGCGGCCTCCTAGACGCCCAAGTGCTTTCCTGGCGCGGCACCCCAACTGTTGGTCCCTGCTACTGGGGCCGCGGCCGGTGACCTCGCGCGGGAGGCAGCCGGAAGCCCCTGGCGCCTGGCAACCGGCACGCAACGGGCGGGCGGGGCTGCAGCCACCGGAGCCGCAGGCCGGGCCGGGCGGGGCTGAGCGGCGGGCGTGCCGCGCTCCCGAGCGTCGCCGGGCTGCCGGCCGCCGAGCGTGTTCGCCCCGAGAGCCGAGCCCCTGAGAGCGACGGGCTGCCCGCCTCGCCCCGCCGCCACGGCCAGCCCCGCGCCCAGGCCGGGTTGAGCCAGGGGCTCGGGTCGGCTGGGGGCCGTCGCTGGCTCCCGCGCTGTCCGCTGCCCCCCTTGGTCCCGCCGCGGGAGCCTCAGACCTGGGCACCACCGCCGAGGTCCAGGCACGCGAAGAAGCCCCGCCCCTCCGCGGTGGATCTGTGGGGACAGTGAGTGCGGGCGATCTCCGGGGGAGCCCCGGCCGAGGGGCTCCGGGGGGGGCAGAGGACCTTGCAGGGGCAGGGCTGAAGGGGAGGTGGGGGCCCAAGAGGTCAGCTGGTCAGGCCCCTTCCTGGGCAGGGGAAACTAGCCCAGCGAGGCTCGTGGGTCACTGCAGGGATTCTCTTGACGCACTTGGAGGGGAGCTGGCGGGTATGCGGGGGCTGAAGGACCGGACCAAGGCTGCTGGGCGGGGTCGGGTGAAGCAGAGAGACAGGACGAAACCCGGGCACCGAGGACCGGCCTGCCAGATCTGTACGTGTCCACACTCCTCAAGCTCCGTACAGGCTGTAGCGTGGACATCCGTGCATCAAGTGGACACGCCCTTACAGGGTGGCCCTCCAGCCCGCCCGGGATTTAAACTGAAGCGGGGCGAGGGAGAATGTGGTTTACCCTCTGCCCTTGACTGCCACCGTACTTCCCTCACTTTCCCTCTTGCACCCCGCCCTGTGCAGCAGAGCTTGGGACGGTCAGCGTCTTAGCTCTGGCCCCGTTTTCACCGCCGATTTTGCTTTGTGCCATTTCTGATTTACCTGGAGTTTGTTGTTGGTTACTTTTTTCGTGGGCTAAAAATACTAGGAAAAAATTGTGCAATGTAGAGAGTCTGTTCTATTGTATAGGTCATTCTACCCTACAACCTTTTTGGGGTCATTAAACATGAAAACGGAAGCCTCTGTCCAAAGAAATGCAATTTGGCCACCATTTTCAGGGTATTGTCCTCTGCGAAGCACAAGAATTCCTGCCCTGCTTTGACTTTATCTGCATTGCTAATGGTGAATTTAAATCGCCCTTTCCGGCGGCATTTCTTCAAAAATACTCCTGACATTTCTTTTTTTAAGTTCTTACATTTTTGAAATTACATTATAATACATTAGTAGTTGTCACTCGAACAGAAGTATATAGCCTTAGAGATGAGAGCCCTCTTTACCTTTTCCTTCTTTCTTTCTCAGACTTCTTAGAATTATTTTAGTGTTTATCTTTCTACTCTTTTTGCATCTGTTTTTTCTATCATCATTGGAATCATATCTTTTGAGAAGTTGTCCTTTTCACTTGACATGTGGCAGATACCTTTCCTCTCAGTTTATTTAGGTCTGCATTGATGTGGTAGAGGTGATCCGTATGTAATTTATTGTATTGTAATTTACGTAACCATTCCTCATTAAGATTGGTTCCAATCTTTCCTTGTTACAAATAATGCAACGGTGAACATTCCCATACATGGGAACAGTTCTATAAAATGAATTCCTTGAAGCAGAATTGCTGGGTCAGATGTGTGTATGTAAAAAATTTTTGGTAGCATCTTGCCTTACAAAAACTCTTTACTAATTTATATTTCCATCAACAGACCGTGTTGGGAAAAATCTGTGTTCATTATTATTTAAAAAAAAATTAAAAACATAGTTTCCACTTGCTGAATGTTTATCACATGTCCAGCACTGTGCTGGAAACTTTACATGCATTTTGAAATTTAATTCTCACTAACCCTATGAGAATCTGAGACACTGTTATTTTCTTCATGACCCTATAGTTATGCAGCCATTGAAGGGCAGAATCAAGATTAGCATCCAGACTCATTTTACTCCAATTAAATAAAATGTGTTCTTTGTTGGGTATGAATTCCTGGTCAGTAATTGATCAGAGAATTGTGTTTCATCGGGTTGTTTGAAGATTAAATGAGATCGTGCTTTTGGTGCTACAGTGTTATTAGCAGCTCTTCCCGCTCCCAACTCCTATAGAATTGGACACGATGCAGTGCTTTCGATGATTCTCGTTTCTCTGTATTGTCTGCCTCTCCAATCAATCACCTCTCAGCCTTTTCTTTATCTTCCTCGTTTGTGTACATTTTAAGGAAATCTGGCTTTCTTCTCCCTCTCAAGTCTTCTTTGGCAACTTTAATCCAGTCTCTGGCCTTAATTCTTACTAGGTGAACAGATAACTCTTAAAATTTCTTCTCCCAACCAAAGCTACAGTCCTCAATTCCTACAATTTAGATCCAGTTTCCATAGCTCAGCCTGGATGTCCCGCACTCCTTTTATCTAAAACTGAGCTCTCTGTTGCTCTCCACCCCCAGACTAGCAATTTCTTTTTGCATGTAATTCATAATTCTCTTAGTCACCCAAGTTCACAGTCTCAGTCATCTTTGACTCTTTTGTCTTTGCTGAACCTCCTAAACTCAATCAACTTGTATTCTCACTGTTGCTACTCTAATGTAAGCCCTCTGGCCTCTTAACTTAGATCCAGTCTCTGCCAGATCAATCTTCCTAAAGCTTAGCTGTGAATTTGCCGCACCTCTGTTCAAAACCCCACCAGTGCCTTCCTGTTGCTCAAAGAAGGAAGTGCAAACCACATTGGCTGGCATTCAGATCCGTCTGTGATCTCCCCAATCTGCCATTTCTTTATCTCTCACAGCACCCCTATCTGAACCCCCTCTGTTCTCCAGGGCATCTTTCACATCTATATCTTTTCCTGGAATGCCCATACCAACATTTCTGCCTGTCTAAATTCTATCTGAATGTCATTTTCTAGCTTTTCCAAGTCTTTTTGGAACTTCTATGTGAAAATAATATCTGCCTTCTTTTAACCCTCCTGATGTGAGATAGCTATCTCCCCTCAGGCTGTAATGTCACATTCTGCCTTCTCTTACAGTTGTATGAGTGGCTACTGTTTTTCCTTTTGGATTGGAACTTCTGTGAAGGCAGAATCTCTATTTAGTTCATCTTCGTATTTGTCATGCACATGGCATATTGATTCGCACATAGTACATGCTTAGTATATTTGAATAAGTGAGCTAATATCGTCACACTTGGGCATGTATTAGTCTGTTGCTAGATATGATGACAAACAGACCTCAACGTTTTAGTGACTTAACATGCAAAAGTTTATTCTTGCTCACCTAGCAATTCCAAGGCAGGTATTCCTGGTCAGCAGGCAGCTTTCTTCCAATTGGTTGCAGGACCCAGACTCTACCATTTATTAACACTTCCCTATTATGTCACTGCAGTCAGCAGAAGGGAAGGGAGAAGGTACGGAGAAAGCGGACCTGCTTCTTAAAAGCTTCTTGCAGAGAGTATTACACATTATACTCACTCAAGTTCTGATCACAGGGAGGTAGCCATTTCTCAGAAACAACTCTATTCTATGGAGGAGCAAGAGTTTTAGTAGACATTCCACCTTCTGTGTCACAATTTCTACTTAGGAAAACCCGTGGGACTGCGCTTGACCATCCCTCGCTCAAAACAAAAGCAAGGCTCCCACTTTCCCAATCTGGTTAGGTTAGCAAATGCTCTCTGTTGTACCACAGAAATGAAACACAGCTTTATCATCAGGATTTATCATCATGGGGGCGCCTGGGTAGCTCAGTCAGTTGAGTGTCTGACTCTTGATCTCAGCTCAGGTCATGATCTCACAGTTCGGGATTTCAAGCCCTGCGTGGGGCTTGGTGCTGACAGAACAGAGCTTGCTTGGGATTCTCTTTCTCCCTCTTTCTCTCTCTCTCTGCCCCTCCCACACACTCTCTTTCTCTCTCAAGATAAATAAACTTAAAAAGAAATGTTTGTCATAATGAACTATAGCTGCTTGTTTACTTTGTTCCCCCCAACATGCTATACGCTTTTGCGTCTTCATCATTTTCGTATTTTAGCTCCTAGAACAATGACTGGCATTGTGGATAAATAAATAACTAGCTTTCTCACTGAATCCACAACTTGTCTTTATGTTCACTTGATAAATATTTTGCTTTAAACAAAGCTAAAAATAATCTTACCATCTGCCCTTTGATGCTTGGGTTATTTTCAGCCTTTTTTCAGTCTTATTTTCTATTATACAGAACGCAGGATTTGACATCCTTGAAGATAAATATTTGTATATATCAATGATCCTTCCTTTAGGATAAATACTTGGAAGTGGAGTAGATGGGCCAAAAGTATGTAAGATTATAAGGACATATATGTTGCTAGATTGCTTTCTGGAAGTATACCCATACATACACTGAAACTTTACGAGACCACCTGTTTTCCTTGAGCCCCATCTTACATTGTCTACTATTAGAGAAAACTCCTTGCCATTTTGGTTGGCAGAAGCCGTAGCTCATTATATTATTTTGCTTTTATTTGAGAACTAGTGAACTTTTATTGACCATTTGTATTTTTTTTTTTTTCTGAAATGAACTATCTGTTCTTTAGTAAATACATTTTCTATAGGGTCATTTTCTTTTTCTCTTTTTTTCTAAATTGAAAAAATATTTAGTTTTTATTTAAGAGACAGAGGGAGAGAGAGATGGTTCCTGAGTAGGGGAGGGGTAAAGAGACAGAGACACAGAATCTGCAGCAGGCTCCAGGCTGCAAGCTGTCAGCACAGAGCCCGACGCGGGGCTCAAACTCACAAACTGCGAGATCATGACCTGAGCCGGTTGGTTCCAATTGGTGCCATCCACTTGAACTATGGCAGGAAAAGAGTTTGCTGTTAAACCCTGCCAAAGTTGGACGCTTAAACAACTGAGCCACCCAGACACCCCTTTTTTTATTTTTAAGTATCTTTATATATAAAAGAAATCAAATTCATCAGTGTTTTTATGTCCTCATTTGAAAAGTTATGGGAACTTCTGAGCAGTGTGGCAGAATGAGCTGGCAGGGAAGGGACTCCATTGTATTTCAATATATTTCCAATGCTGGGTAAAATATAATAAGATAATTTATGGAAATGTAGCTGAGCTAGAGACCATGGGAAGGAAATCCCCAGGTGCCACAAATGAAGGAATGCTCACATAGGAAGCCACTGTTGAGCATCTGCCGAAAGCTGGAAGTCACAAAGGAGTACTGTTCCAGTTACTATGACTGCATCACAAATTTCTCCAAAACTTAGTCGTGGAAAACAACCATTTATTGTGCTCAGGGATTCTGTGGGTCAGGAATTCGGACAGGGCACAGCAGGGACAGCTTGGCTCTGCTTCATG